TCAGTTTGCACCACACAGAACATAAAGTGTAAAATACTGTTTGAGTACTAGTTACAGCATTAATTCACATTGGACAACACATTAAGGACAGAGATCCCACATGAGGGGTAAATACACAGTGACTCCTGTTGTTGACTTAACAATTTGACACTCTTGTTTATGGCATCAGAAATCTCCCTAGGCTCTAGTCATGAGTTGCCAAGGCTATGGAAGCCTCTTGACTTCGCTGACTTCAATCTTATTTAGACTAGGTCATAGTCAAAGTGGAAGTTCTCTCCAGTTCTCTCCTCCCTTCAAAGAAAGGTACCTCCTCCTTTGATGGCCTGTTCTTTCTACTGGGATCTCACTCAAAGAGATCTTTCATTTAGGTTTGTTTGTTTGTTTTTTTCCCAGAGTGTCTTGGCTTTCCATGGCTAAAATACTCTCATGGGCTCTTCAGCCAGATCCGAATGCCTTAAGGGCTGATTCTGAGGCCAGAGTGCTGTTTAGGACATCTGCCATTCTATGAGTCTGCTGTGTATCCCACTTCCCATGTTGGATAGTTCTCTCCCTTGTTTAGAGAATGTAATTTTTTGAGTGAGATTTACAGATAGAAATGTGTTCTCAAGGTGACAGTGAGACATGGGTCATATGCCATGAAACAGGAAGACACGGGATTTGTAGACAGAGGTGGTCATGGCTAATTAAAATATAACTGGACTTTTCAAAAAAAGAAAGTTTAAAAGAAACACTAATACTCATAAGAGGTCTTCCAGGCATCACACAAGAGTAGCAAGTTATCTAAGCAATTTTGTTTGTCTCATAGGGCTTGGGATGACCATTCAAAGGTTCTGGTTATGCCACACTGAATCTGTACAAAGATGACATCATTTTAGATTTGCTTTCCCAGACTGCTGGCCACCAAGTGTATTGTATCAGTTTCTCCAGGATACACTAGGAGACTGGGACTTGTATGCTAGAAGCATACTGAGGAATGCTCTTAGGAAGGGCAACTTTAAGGCAGTGGAAACTGGATTGGACAGAGGAAGGAGTTGAACTGTGTTGCAGTGACAACAGTGGCCTCAGCTGACCCTTGAGGTCTGACTGGAGGCACTCTCTGAGATGATCTTGGCCGTTCAGAGATGTTCTGAATTAAGACCAAGCCCTTGAACCCAGCCTCTGCAGCCACTGCATGCTCAGGGAGCTCCACTTGCGGTTGGGAGGGGTGGTCCTCAGCTCTCATCAGCCAAAGTACTTCCAGGGCAAGAACTCAGATGTGAATTCTAAGAGGAAACAGACCTAGAAGCTGGGACAATGAGCTCCTTGGAGGTGAGGGAAGAACTAGAAAGCACATTATAGCAAATGCAATGAACAGCAACCTTTAACATTTTTCTATATTTACGAATATTTTATTTTTCCTGAATGTTTTTGAAAATTTCTTTCCTGATTTTACTTCTGTGGAACAACCACCACAAATAGTGTCTAACAGACATTCCATTGTTGTGTCATATCCGCACATCAATCAACACATATTAAGAGGAGTTATAGGCATTGAGACTGGCCCAACAGAGAAAAAAGAAAATCATTTTGCCTCATGGAGGTGGACAAATATGGGAACAAAGATGCAATACTTTTTGGATGTCAGTGAGATAGGAAACAGGAGACAGAGGAAATAAACTTGGATTTAAGATTGATCTCCTTGGATTCAGAAGTGGGGAAATAGGTTAATGTCATCAGCAGACCTGAGACCACCCCATTCCTAGCTCAGCCTTGCAAAAATTCCATCTTAAATAGTGGTTACGGCCAGCGCCACGGCTCACTTGTCTAATCCTCTGCCTGCGGCGCTTGCACCCCAGGTTCTAGTCCCGGGTGGGGCACCGGATTCTGTCCCGGTTGCCCCTCTTCCAGTCCAGCTCTCTGCTGTGGCCCGGGAGTGCAGTGGAGGATGGCCCAAGTGTTTGGGCTCTGCATCCGCAGGGGAGACCAGGAGGAAGCCCCTGACTCCTGACTTCAGATCGGCGCAGCACGCCGGCCATAGCAGCCATTTGGGGGGTGAACCAACAGAAAAGGAAGACCTTTCTCTCTGTTTCTCTCTCTCTGTCTAATCCTGCCTGTCAAAAAAAAAGAAATAGTGGTTACACCCAACAGGCTGTGTCAAAAGACATCTAAATAATTGTCTTTTTATTCTCCACAAAGAACTAGAGGCTCATTATTATTTTGGTAATGACTTTGATTAAGTCATATTCTTACATCAAAAAGCTCAACAGGATAAAAAATTAAAATGTTTGATTTATAATATATCAGGGGGAATTAATCATGAAAAGGATTTCAATATAATGGTTCTATTTTAAGTATTTTAATATGACTGTACATGGAAACTATGTAAGCATTACATAAATCCTTGAGATAATAATTTTAGAAAACTGATATTTGAATTTTTATTGACATATGTTAGTTGTACATGTTTATGTTTTGTCTTTTTGATAATAGCCATTATAACTGGAATGATTTTTTTTTTTTTTTGACAGGCAGAGTGGACAGTGAGAGAGAGAGATAGAGAGAAAGGTCTTCCTTTGCCGTTGGTTCACCCTCCAATGGCCGCCGCGGCCGGCGCGCTGCGGCCGGCACACCGCGCTGATCCGATGGCAGGAGCCAGGAGCCAGGTGCTTTTCCTGGTCTCCCATGGGGTGCAGGGCCCAAGCACCTGGGCCATCCTCCACTGCACTCCCTGGCCACAGCAGAGGGCTGGCCTGGAAGAGGGGCAACCGGGACAGAATCCGGCGCCCCGACTGGGACTAGAACCCGGTGTGCCGGCGCCGCTAGGCGGAGGATTAGCCTAGTGAGCCGCGGCGCCGGCCTAACTGGAATGATTTTGACTTGCATTTTCCAAGTGATAACTGAGTTATTTATTTGCTTTGTTATTGAGTTTGCTGAATTCCTTACAAAGTCCAATTAGTGACCTCTTGTCAGATGTATAGTTTGCAAATATTTCTCCCATTTTGTCTGTTGCCTCTTCATTCTATTGTTTCCTTTGCTATATATTTTGATGTAGCAACTGCCGTATATTTTTGCTGTTGTTGCCCATGGCTTTGAGATCTTATCCAAAAGACTAATGTCCAGGGCCTTGTCTATGTTACTGCCATTGTAGAATTCTTCATATTTAATGTGAGTTTTATCTATAGTAATCATTTCCAAAAATTTCTCAATATTCATATTCTATAAATATATAATCTTTGGAATACCAAGATGATATGAATTCATAGATCATGAATTTTATACTTACTATATAATAATAACAAACATAATGCTTCCTCTATGACCAAAATTATTCTAGTACATTGCCTTTTCCAAGTGGAGCTGTGATGACATATTTTAGGGAAGTACAGGCCTCCAGATGTGTTGCCAAAATACACTGGATGATACCTCAACAGCATTTGTAAGGTTAGGTGGATTGGTTGTCAGTGTAGTTGAAACAAATGGCTTTGAAATAATTATAGTAATCAGAGGCATGATGACCTTTATAAAACTTGCACTTCTCATGATGTTAAAGTCTTGTTTTTCACCAGCTGGATTTATAATCCACCTGTTGGGAGAAAGACATGCAGCAGGTACAGGAGCTTAAGAACTCTAGGAATCCCTGTTGTAAGTCCATTCCTAGGTTCATGGGACTTAGAGGAAAATTATTACGTTCCTTGAGATACTAGAAAAAACTTCAGATGCCACTAAACATCCCCTTGAAACCTTGATGTGTTTTTTAAAAAAAAATGAATGAGCAATTGAAAACTACTTTTGAAGAAGCATAGATTTCAGGAAATCCTATGCAATGAAATATCACACACCTTTAGTTACTTTCTGAGTAATCTGCAGGGACTTTCTGAGTAACAAAACACAGAATCAATAAAGACTTTATAAGCATATATCACCTGGAGAGGCAGTGGGGGGAGGGCAGTGTGGGGAGCAACTCGGACTAGACTGTTACTGGAATTAAGACTTATTCTATGCATCTACTTTCCCACAATATGGCGCTGAGAAGGGAGTAACAGCTTCTACACAGCTGCCTCCAGTTCAACCAATAAACTGTAGGACCTGCTCCTGATTGGAGAAGAGCAGCGTACTCGGTGTGTGGGTAGCAGAGTTGGGATTGGTGGAAAAGGACTATAGAGGAGAGAGACAACATGCACAGGGAACATCTATCTGAGGGAACATCTAAGAGGAACACCTGTGCAGCCCCCAAGAGAGCCAGCCGGCGGTGTGCCGCTCCCCCGCGGAAGTGGGGAAAGTGGCAGGGGGAACCGCCCTTCCACGGAGGTGGAAGGGATGGTAGCTAACCCGGGAAGAACCAGCAGCAAACCCGGGGAGGGCCGAGCAGACGAAAGAACAGCGCAGGGTCCTGTGTCGTTCCTCCACGAAGAGGGGGAGCGACATAATGGTGCCGTGACTCAGATATGAAGCCTAGGCAGGGTTTAGTGTCGTTCCTCCATGAAGAGGGGGAGCAACAGGGCAGCAAGCCAAGATGGTGACTAAGAGACTCTGGTGACCACTTCCCCTCAGAGACACCAACTAGACCAGCTGTGCACACACGCTAAGAGCTAGGTCACCTTCATAAGAGCTGTGGAAGCCAGATGAGAGACCCCAGCATGTCGTCTTGTTGTAATCATAATAAAAGGCATGGATGAAGCAAATAAGGAAAGATTTGTCCCAGTCAGCTCTCCTGCAGTCCCAAGGAGTACAGAGTGTAGAGATGCCTCCTGTTTGCGAGAGGATAAGCAGAATCCCCGTGCCACTGGGAAAATTTCAGCTGGGCTGAGCCTACCTGGCCCTGCCCTTAGCCTATTACCTGTTTAGTGAATACTGGGAGCTTCCATAGCCGGGTGGCCTCTGGCATCACTCCCCCAATGGCCAGGAGACAGCAGACTCTATTCCTGCAGAGAAGCAACTTAGGACCACGCCTTGGAGCTCAAAGCTGGGCCTACTGCACCAAAACCTGGTATCTTATAAAGCCCAAATCCTCTACCTTGCAGCCACTGCTCACGGAGTAAGCATCTAGAATTGTGCAGCGTCAGGCAGACACTGTGCTCCAGTGGGTTGGACTCATTTTGACAAGTAATACTGCCAGCCTTGGGTAAGTCCAGAGGGCACCTTCAGGACTTTGTGGGACTTAGATAACTCTGGGACCCTGGTATGACCAGCCTGGGCCTAATCTGGGTGATCGGGGGGCTGCCTTTATCACTCTCCTCCAACTCTGAGCAGACAGCAAAGGGCCAAGAGACTCCGTCTTGGAAATCAGTGCTGAGCTGGTAAAGCCCAGTGCTGGGCAGATCCTAAGGGATTCCATTCCTAGGCCAGTGTCTGTGCGCAGAACAAGTCCAGAGACCTGCACCCCAGTAAGATAGACTAGGTAGCAACACAAGCCTCCCATTGAACTAGTTTGCATCCCCAAGATTGCCCAAGACCTAGTGACTGTGAAATCCAGGTGTGACTGACCTAGGGCTTGCCTAGGGAGCTGGGGAGCTGCCTCTATCAGTTCTCCTGCAACCTGGGGCAGACAGTAAGGTATTCTGTGATCCTGAATGAGCAGTCTTATACCTAAGCCAACATCACCAGTGGTTGATAGGTGCAACATTGGCCAGAGAGCCCACCTCAGAAGCAGACAGACCAAAGCTTACCTCAATAGAACAGACGAATTGGAATCTGTAGGGATATAACTGCAAATGAAGTCAGATTACTAAAACCAACCCTTCACTGCACAGATAGCTTCATATACCAGCAGTGTCAGTAACTTCCAGGGAAACTTGTCCTCATCCTTTAAAGACCAACAAAGAGGTCAGAAACTAACTCCATTGGAACTAGAACTTCAAAATGTGCAAATGAAAATTTCAAAATAACTGTTTTAAAGAAACACAATGAAATTTAAGGGGCATAAAAATGTTCAATAGTCTAATAAATTTGATAGAGATGGAAGTAATGAACTAAAATCAAGCAGAAATCCTTCAACTGAAAAATACACTAAGTGATACTGATGTGATAGAAGGCATCAATAGCAGAGTAAATCAAACACAATAAGAATCGATGAGCTCAAGGACTATTTAAAAATAGCAGTTGGAATCCAGCACTGTGGAATAGAAAGTTAAGCTTCTGCCTGTGATGTCAGCAACCCCTGTGGGTGCTGGTTCGAGTCCCTGCTGCTCCACTTCTGATCCAGCTCCCTGCTGAAGGGCCTGGAAAGGCAGCGGAGGATCGCTCAAGTGCTTGGGTCTTCCTCTGGGGAGACCCAGAGGAAGCTCTTGGTTTCTGGTTTCAGCCTGACCCAGCGCTGACCATTGCAGCCATTTGGGAAGTGAACCAGCAGATGGAAGATCTCTCTCTCTCTCTCTCTCTCTCTCTCTCTTTTGCCCTCCTCTCTGTATCTCTGTCTTTGAAATCAAAAATCTTTAAAAAAGAAAACAGCAGTTGGAGGAGGAAAAAAGGAAACCTATCAAGAGGAATAAAGCTTATGGAAAAATATGGAATAGCAGGAAAAGTTCAAATAAAGTTATTGGGGTGCAGAAAGGAGTTGAGAAGCCAAAGCATATTCAAAGACATAATAGAAAGCATATTCAAAGAGATAATGACAGAAAACTTCCCAAACCCAGAGAAGGGTACAACTATCCTCATACAGAAAGGTCAAATGTCCCCAGTCAGATTCAAGCAAACCAAATCTACCCCAAGACATATTATAGTCAAGCTCTCCGAGGTTAAAGATAAAAGCAATGTTCTCAAAGCTTCCAGAGGAAAAGCAAATATCATCTAAAGAGCTCCTAACTCACCTGACTTCTCAGCGGAAGCCTTAGAAGTCAGCAAGGAATGGGATGAGACTTTTACAGCACAGAAGGGAAAAACATGCCAGCCAAGAATACTGTACTAGAAAAGCTGTCTTTCAGTTTAGAAGCAGACATAAAGACATTCCCAGACAAGCCAAAGCTGGGAGAATTTATTACTACCAGACCTGAGTTACAAAAAAATGCTAATAGGAATTCTTCCAACAGAAAGAAAGACGTGTTAACAAATGCAAAGAAATTATCAGAAGGTAGAAAACTCACTGGTAAGAGTAACTATAGAAACAAATCCTGAATTCTCTAATATTGTAAATGCAGTATGTCAATGTGTATCTTAACTGTGAAAACAAAAAATTTACAATCTCTATATTTAAATGTTAAGAGACAGGCAATATCGAAAAGGTCCAATGTCACGTGAAAAGTTCAAAATGTGGGAGACGTGGAACACAATTGTGGAGTTGTTTATTGGGATTTCACATCTCTTTGTTTTTTTTTCTCTCGGTTTTCCCCTCTCTTTATAATCAGCATTAGGTTGTTACCATTTCAATATAGCTTGTTATAAGAAAAAGGAGGTTTTTTTTTAAGCCTCATGGTAATCACAAAACAAGAACTTATAACAGACTTACTTTAAAAAAAAATGGGGGGTGGGGGTAATCAAAGTGTATCACTAGAGAAAATCTCTTATCCACAAAAGAACATTTAAGAGAGGGAGAAACAAACAAATATGATAAAAATACAAAACATATCAAAATGGAAGTAGTAAGATCTTACCTATCAATAATTACCTTAAATGTCAAATATTTATATAATAAACCAAAAAGGAGAGATAGACTTCAATATAATAATAGTAGAGGACCACGAGGGCCGGTGCTGTGGTGTAGTAGGCTAAGCCTCTACCAGCAGTGCCAGCATCCCAAATGGGCACCGGTTCAAGTCCCAGCTGCTCCACTTCTGCTCCAGCTCCCTGTTGATGGCCTGGAAAGCAGCAGAGAATGGCCCAAATCCTTGGGCTACTGCACCCATGTTGGAGACTCAGAAGAAGCTCCTGGCTGCTGGCTTTGGATCTGCTCAGCTCCAGCCATTGCGACCATTTGGGGAGTGAACCAGTAGATGGAAGACATCTCTGTCAGTCTCTCCTTCTCTCTGTCTATAGCTATGCCTCTCAAATAAATAAATAAAAATCTTCAAACTAAATAGTCTAGGACCTTATCATCCCACTTTCAGGAATGCACAGATCATCTAGACAGAAAATCAACAAAGAAACAGAGGGAGTAAATTGCACACTATATCAGTTGGATCTCACAAACATGTACAAAATGTTCCATCCAACAACTGCAAAATGCACATTTTCCTGAAAAGCACATGGAATACATTTGCCAGGATAGATCAAATGGTAGGGCACAAAACTAGTCGCAACAAATGTAAAAGAACAGATATCGTATCAGGTATCTTCTCTGACCAAAATTTAATGCAATAAACTGGAAATCAATGAGAAAAATGTTGTAAATGACACAAGTACAGGACACTAAACAGAATATTCCAGAACAAGCAAAGAATCAAAGGACAAATCAAGGAGGAAATTTAAAAATTTCTTAAAATGAATGAAAATATAAATACAACATACCACAACCTGTGGAATAAACCACAGAAGTACTGAGAGGGAAGTGTTTTAGTGATCAATGCCTATGTCAGAAATACAGAAGATCTCAGACAACTTATCACTGTCCCTCAAAGAAATAGGGGATAAAACAAACAAATCAAATAAAAAATCGATAGAAGGAAAGAAATAATAAAGAGAGGGACTGGCACTGTGGCATAGCCAGTAAAGCCTCTGCCTGTGACACTAACATCCCATATGAGCACCAGTTTGAGTCCTGGCTGTTCCACTTCCAATCCAGCTCCCTGCTAACAATGCACCTGGGAAAGCAGCAGAGGATGGCCCAAGTGCCTGGACCCCAGCACCCACATGGGAGACCAAGAAGAAGCTCCTGACTCCTGACTTTGGATAAGCCCAGCTCCAGCTGTTGTGGCCATTTGGGAATTAAACCAGCAGATGGAAGATGTGTCTCTCTCTCTCATTCTCTCTCTCTCTCTCTCTCTCTACCTGTAATTCTGATTTTCAAGTAAATAAACCTTTAAAAATTTTTAAAAATGAATATATGTAAATTACATTGAAATAAAAAAGCAATAAAATAGATCTGCTTCCTTGGAAAGATAAACAAAACTGATAAATTAATCAAGCAAAAAAATAGAGATGGAAATAGACACATTATTTCTGATTCCACAGAAATACAAAGGATTGTCAAAGATTGCTATGAACAACTACATGGCAATAAATTCTGTAAACCAGAAGAAATGGACAAATCTTTGCACACATGCACCTTAGCTAGATTGAATCATGAGGAAATAGAATACCTAAAACAAGTAACAATAAGGAGTAACACTGAGTTAGTAATTTTTAAAAATCTCCCATCAAAGAAAAGCCCAGAACCAGGTGGTTTCGTTGCTGAAGTCTATTAAATACTTAAAGAATAGTTAACATAAATCCTTCTTGTTACTTCAAAAAATTTAAGAAAGGAGGGAAATCTTCCAATTACCTTGATACCCAAAGCAGAGAAGGACACAACAATAATAGAAGCAACAGCAAAACCTTACAGGTTATCGGTGATGAACATAGATACAAAAATCCTCAACAAAATGCTAGCAAATCAAATACAACAGCACATCAAAGAGATCCCTCACAATGGTCAAATGGGATTCATCCCAGGGATGCAAGGCTGGTTCAGCATATGTAAATCAATAAATGGGATACCTCACAGCAATGGAATGAAGGGTAAAAATCACATGATCAGCTCAATAAGTGCAGAAAACAGTTGATAAAATTCAACATCACTTCATAACCAAAACTGGCAAAATTGGGTATAGAAAGAATATTCCCCAAATTAATAAAGGCCATAAATATCAGGCCAACAGGTAACATCATATTGAATGGGGAAAAGCTGAGACTTTCTAATCAGTAACAAGACAAGGATGCCACTTTCAACACTTTTGTTCAACATCATACTAAAGGTCCTAGCCAGAACAATTAGGCAAGGGAAAGAAATACAGGGCATTTATATTGGAAGGGAGGAAGGCAAATTATTACTGTTTGCAGATTACATGATCATATGTATTGGAAATACCAGAAAGTCCACCAAAGAGACAAATGCAGCACAGTTTCAGGATACAAAGTCAATGCACAAAAACCAGTAACAATTTTTGTACAAAAATCATGATTCATCTGAAAAAGAAACCAAGCAAACAATTC